TCTTACCCCCACACTCTTTCAATGCTAGCCGCCCTTCCTATTTCCTATTTATAAATATAAATCCTACACTCTCTTCTCTTCTTACTCTTATTTCCCTTTCCATAACTCAACAACACAATATTATTATTATTAATAACAATTATAACATACACTTCCTTCTACTCATTTCTCGCATCGATTTCCATGGCCCCTTCCTTCGACACAACCTCTCACACAGTATGCGTCATGGACGCTTCCAGTCATTTCGGCCTCACCCTCGTCCAGACACTCCTCCAAAGGGGCTACACCGTTCACGCCTCCGTTCAAAAATACGGTAATTTTTAATTAATTATACCTTCTTTTTTCCCTCTTTAATCATCTCTTTATGCTTCTTAATTTCCTTTACTTCAATTTCTCAGGGGAAGAAAACATCTTCAAAGGGGTTTCCGCCAATCCCGATAAGCTCAAGCTTTTTCGATCTGACCCATTTGATTACCATAGCATAGTCGATGCACTACGAGGTTGCTCTGGTTTGTTCTACACCTTCGAACCTCCCCTTGACCAGCCAAATTATGATGTAAGCACCATTTTCTTTTTTGCTTCCCATTATTTCCTGTCTTTTTCCCGTTACTTCCGAATAATCATTTTATATTATATTATCTTATACGCTGTTCAAATATGTTACAATACTCTCCTCTAAACAATTCATTTCAAACCAATAATTTTGTTTTTTTATATTTATATTAAAAAGAACCAAACCATCTAGCCTCGCAATATTTCTTTTATGAGGAAAACAGTTCATCCGTGTTTTTTGCCTTTTTGGGTGAGAAATTACGGAGTTTTTTTTACGTTAAACTAACGTAAGAAACTCGATTTATTGGTGTATGTGGTGGGCACGATTTTCCCGATCGAGTTTCTCACTTACTTACTTGTTAGCTGCTTCTGGATGGGTTACTCAACCCCCTTCGTTTCCACAAATTAAGTCCGTGACAGAGAAGTAAATTAATGTAGTTGTTGTTTTGAACTGGCTAACCTTCTTAATAACTCGTAAATAATAGCACTATAGTGGTAGCTTTGGGCCGGTTAACCTTCGTAGTCAATTCTTAATTATTTCATTCATATGTCCTAATCACTTGCGCTGGTTTAATTTTGAACCATGTGCTTGTTTGCTTATTTCATTCATTGTACGGTTATATTATTATTATTATGTTTAAATACTCAAATATGGACAATCATGTAATATTGGAAGATTTAAAAGCAAGATGAAACGCATATACAATGGATTAAATTATTATGTTAACCACTTGAGAATAATATAAATTTAACTTTTTCCACTCATTGCAGCGGTATGATTAGTTATTTTTTAGTGAATTGCAATCAAACTATGCACAAGTTTTATGCGGATGAGCATATATATTTGTTATTTTCTAAAGAACATTTTATTACGTATAGTTGCATTACTTATCAGAATCTTCTTGAGTTCTTGTACATAGATTGATATAAAATAAAAGTTAAGTACTCCATAATTTTTTTGTAGGACATCTCTTAAAAAACCTGACTGGAAGTTTTTTGTCCCATGTGTTTAATTTATGGCAAGCATTTTTGACAGTCTGTTTGACCAAAAACCAAACGTTTGGTAGAAAAGTTATTGGTACGGTTTAATTGTTACCAGAGTTGAGAAAACGCGTTAAAATAGATGTTTATAATTAAGTTTATAAATGAAATAAAAATATGTATGAGTGTTGATATATAGTAGTAATATGTTTTGGAAAGCAGCGTGTGATTAATGATTATTTGTGTTGGTACAGGAATACATGGCAGACGTGGAAGTAAGAGCTGCACACAATGTGTTGGAAGCATGTGGTCAAACGGAAACAATAGATAAAGTGGTTTTCACATCCTCAGCAACAGCAGTGGTGTGGAGAGAGGATCGCAAGAGCATGGAGGCGGATCTAGATGAGAGACACTGGAGTGATGTGAATTTCTGTCGCAAATTTAAGGTATAGTAAAGACATGCGACAAATACCCATAAATAATTTACATGAGGATGAGGGTATGTTGTGAAATGTGAATATATAATAATAAATGAGCTGTGCAAACAGTTATGGCATGGGGTGTCAAAAACAATGGCTGAGAAGAGCGCGTGGGCCTTGGCGATGGACAGAGGAGTGAATATGGTGTCCATCAACGCAGGATTATTGATGGCTGATGATCTATCTCTCAAACATCCTTACATGAGAGGAGCCGCTGAGATGTACGAGGACGGGGTTTTCGTCACAGTTGATTTGAGTTTCTTGGTCGATGCCCACATCTGCGTCTACGAGGATGTCTCATCCTACGGTCGTTATTTGTGCTTCAATCACATCATTAACACCCACCAAGACGCCCTTCACCTCGCACGCAAGTTGGCGCCTTCTGCCTCTTCTTCCTTGCCACAAAGGTCAGAGCCCCCCCCTTTTTTTTTAGTCATTTTGACCTTTCTCTTTGACTCTTCATATGTTCAACTCACATTTTTTTTATTTTTTTATTTATTTGCAGTGGCGACTGCGGTAAGAGTTTTATCGAACAGAGAATTAGCAACAAGAAGTTGAACAAATTGATGGTGGATTTCGAGGAGGCTTGAATTCAATTCGTTGGTCATCTTTTTGGACGGTGATAAGAGCGATGAATCACCCAAGCTGTTTTTCTGCGGGAAAGCATTCGTGTGACAAATGATTGTTAGAAAAAGATTTGTACCTATGCTCCCATATTATAATAATATGTTACGCATTAATGTATTTTTCATCAAATAATCATTTCTTCATTTATTTGAATAATAGATAATACAAAATAATTGTTTATTTTTAAAGTATCATTACACCCGAACATGAATCCGATCTTTTTCTCCGGTGATGTTTACATTATAATTCATTTTTACGCGTGTTTTGCAGTTTGCTTGGCCGTTTAAGGAAGTTAAACATCGTGTAATGCTAGGTAGAGGTGTTCAAATTTACTAAGCGAATTGAGTTGGTCAAATTCAAAAATTTATATAGCTTGAGAAAAAAAATAAATCAATTTGATTTGACCTGACAAATTATGCGGTTATTTTATTAGTATTTGTGTGAGGGGATATTTTATGCGTGTTATTTTTTATAAGATTATTACACAAACATACTTCGTAATAATGAGATATTGTCCGTTTTGGGACTTAGCCTTCACGATTTTATTTTTAGTCATCATCCAAAAAGTCTTTCAATCATTGAAGTATGTTTGTATTATATAAGTTATTATTTTTTGTCTTATTTTATCTTTATGGTATTTGTTTGTATTCCAACATGCACAAAATATAAGTTATTCGTAAGATATTTGATTCAAAACAGTTTAATTTACTTATAAATATTGACTCGTGAAATAGTAAGACTTAATTAAGTGATATATAAATATATAATCTCATTTTAAAAATAAATTGCTTTCATAAACTATATTTCATTACAACTTAACATCGAGAATGAAAAGATAACTGAATACATAATATCAATTAATAGAAAAATATGTTGAGAGTGACATTAGATAAGATGAATATAGTTGTTAATTATTTATATTTGAAATCAACGTTGATGTTTTTTTTCCCGTATATTTCATAGGAAAAAAAAAAAGAAACAACCCTTTTAGCTACAAAAGTCATGATAACTTGGCCCAAGAAAATTAATCAAAGTTTGAGAGGATACACTTCCAACCGTAACTCTCAAGACCAAAAGGCTAAAATATTGAAATCTACTTGACAAAATAATATGGATGATACATAGCCTTCCAATCTTAAGTTTAGTAAGACAAAAACTAAACTCTACTTAATTCGAAAGTATTGAACGGATACACAACTCCCAACCACGCGTCAAAGGCAAAAGGCTAAAGACCAAACTCTGTTTAGGTAAATAATTGAGAGGTACACTACTAGTGATGGTGATAAAGAGAATTTATTCTTTTCTTACTCCCGCTTGTGAATAAAAGAAAAGGGAAATGGTGGTGGTTTATGACTCACATTTATTTTTCAGGTAACATATTCTTAAATAATGAATGATACAATTGATTAAGTCTTTTTATTCATATTAATTAAGATTTGGAATCAATTTTTTTTCTTAATGTTTTGTATCTTGGTTTTAACATGAAGTTTTGTTTTACCTTAATCTAGTTTTTCTTTTTAAATTGTACCTGTCTGAGGACACATTTGTAATTTTCTGGGGGGAAGGGTCGAACGGGAGCTTCAGGTGGATTCTTCAGAGGGGAGATGTACCTGCAAAAGGCACTCCGACGCTCAAGTTAGGACAAACACAATTTTCTAGGATAATGATTGAATAGTGACATACCTCGTTACGTGTGATCTATTTATAATACCTGTCATGGGCCTGAGCATGGTGGGCCTTCTATGACATTTACCAAATTAGGTAATACGATGTTAATCGGCTGATTATGTCTTAATCATGTGCTTGTCCTTGCTAATTGTGATCATTGCCGTAATCTTTGCTTTATCCTTCGGTTCATTACCGAGCAGAAAGGTAAATGCTTGGGTTGCTGGGTGTCCTCGGCCGCTGGCCGGGCCGACAGGCATTTGTTCGGTTATCCAAACTCTATCGGCATTCGGCCGAGCCAATACGTAGCATATGGAGACGCATTGGTTATTCTTATCGGTCATCAGCCGGGCCGAAGTTGCTAGCGAACTCTTCTCTGCGTTCGGCCGTATGCCGAGCCGATGTTAACGTGGAGGTTCATGGGGGTGGTTGTTCAGTCTGCGTGGGTGTCTAACGGAACGGCACGTGTTGGTCCACGTGATTGATAGGATCCTTCCGGTACACAAGCCCCCCAGCCTTGAAGAGTAGAACGACACTAAGGGTAAATATGATGTGTCAGTTGAGGGAATTGCTTGAACATGGGGTGTTTCTTGGCGATACAACTGGTGGGCATTGATGACGCGTGCAAAGGGTTACAACTGTTGGTGGAATGCCAAGGGTTGTAACCGTTAGGCATTGATGACGCGTGCGAGAGGTTACAACTGTTGGTGGAATGCCAAGGGTTGTAACTGTTGGGCATTGATGACGTGTGCGAGAGGTTACAACTGCTCGTGGAATGCCAAGGGTTGTAACCGTTGGGCATTGATGATGCATACGAAGGGTTGCGCGCTTTAGACCGTTGGATCAAGTTGATCCAACGGTGTTCAAGGGGGTGTGGCGTTTGAAATGATTGCAAGGTAGGCCTATAAATAGGCGTGGTGGTGGGGAACCTAATGTGTGTAATCTGTGTGTACTCCGAGCTGAGATCAACTGAGTTGCAACGTTCGAGTAGCTTTCAACGAAGACCGGTTGCGTTCTACATTTAGGTACGTAATGGTAGATGTTAATGTTGTTCATATCGGCTCCTCTGGGGATACAAGTGACTCTGCCGGCGCCGTGTCAAGAGCATCACCGGACCGACACCATGTATCGGCATTGGCTTCCAACGGGTCAGACGATGCGGGATCCGCTTCGGGGTCGGGGCACACAGCAAGTGAGGGTGACTCCTCATCTGTTGTAGCTTCAGATGACCGGCCGGCTACGGCCTCCAGGCAGTTTGTGCCTATCGAGACTCCTAGTTATACATGGGTGCATGGGGAGGTGGGTAGTGTTCACTCTCGGTATACCGACAAGAACTCTATTACGCTCTTCGTTTCGGCTGTGAAGTGTCTAACCTTCCCCGAAGAAGAGGAGCCTTCTCCGATTTTCTTTCAGCCGTGCTGAGGCGATGGCGGGCCGAATCCGGACTTCGTCTTCTTGGATCGAGGGAATTGTAAATATCATTTCTTTTATGTATATGACTATATGTTTCGCGATCTGAATGTAACGCTGCCGTTTGACGAGTATTTTGCTGGTATACTACGGTTGTTAAACGTGGCTCCTACCCAACTCCATCCAAATACTTGGGTCGCGATGCAAGGGTTCAGACAGTTGTGTTTGGCTCTCGGCATCAGGCCCACTCCCCACCTATTCTTATACTTCTATTCGTCTCGGCCTACCAAGAAGGTTAAGTGGTTGTCTCTAGTCCGGCACGCAGACTATTTGTTACAGCCGTTTACCACTTCCTATAAGAAATTCAAGGTAGGGTTCATCAAGGTAATGATTCGACCAACGACGGGAAATAAATATTTTTTTGATGCTGAGGAGAGGCCGATGTTCCTTCTATACTGGACCCGGAAACCGTGCAAATACGATACGGTGTCGAAGTCTCGATTGTCCCCGGAGGAGCGGTATAGCTTGAATTTTTTGGAGAAGCTTCCTCGGCCTTTGTCGTGCCGACCGTTGGTTTGACTGTTTGAGTCGGCTAACGCGACAGAAGAGTTAATCGGTATAGTAGCTTTCTTACTTATTTTGAATTCTTACGTTATCATTGATTTTTACTAATGATGTGCAGGTATCATGGCAAATTATGGAGAGGACGACCTGGACATCCGTACGCTGATCGGGAACCAAGTGGCGGCGGCCACAACGAGTAAGACCCCGACCGGCGTGCACGTCGCTGGGAATCAATCGAATCCTCAAGGTGGTGGGGTGGGACCAACGGCCAAACCAAGGAAGGGGGGCAAGGGTCCCATTCGGCCCCAAAGGGAAAAAAGATAGCCTGAGGACTCGAGGGCCGAGGAAGAGAGCCATCGGGCCAAGCAACAACGCTTGGCCAATTCGTCTGTTCCACAAGGCTTGGTCGGACCAAGCTTCTTGGCTAACAATGTTATCGCTTAGGATTTTCTGAGCCAAGACTTGACCTCCGAATCGGGTCAAGGAATTCTAAGTCGCATGACCTCGGCTCAGAAATGGAGCTTCTTTTGTGAGTTCCAAGTGCGTGCTGTGGCCTTGTCACAAAGCATTGTGATGGAGCTAAACGGCGAGGCCGACGGGCTTCGTCGGCAATTAGCTGAGCAGGAGAAGTCTCTTCAAGAGACGTTGACGACGCTTACTGATGCCCAAATAGTCAACAACAAGTTTCAGGCCGAGCTGGACCGCCGGGGGCGAACTGCTGACGACCTGTCACTGAAGGTTCATCGTCTTGAGTTGGCCTTGAAGAATGAGACGGAGAAGGGTGCTATCTTGGCCAAAGAGTTGGAAGCTGAGAAGCTTGCTTTTGGTGCCTATAGAGAGAAGGCACGCAACAAGGTCCTCTCTCAGCATCAGGCCAGGTTTGCCGAGGCGGCTCGGCAGGCATCCTACTTGGCTGATAGTGCTCTGTTAATGAATTTGGAGTTTCCTTGTTGTCGTATATTGATGTAAAATTATTGTTTTTTTCGGGATGAAAACTTGTAAAAATTAATGTAAGCGGCATCCTTGGCCGAGAGAGATCTCGGGAGGGAAGACTTTAAAAATTAATGTAAGCCGCATCCTTGGCCGAGAGAGGTCTCGGGAGGGAAGACTTGTAGAAATTAATGTAAGCCGCATCCTTGGCCGAGAGAGGTCTCGGGAGGGAAGACTTATAAATAATGTAAGCCGCATCCTTGGCCGAGAGAGATCTCGGGAGGGAAGACTTGTAAAAATTAATGTAAGCCGCATCCTTGGCCGAGAGAGATCTCGGGAGGGAAGACTTGTAAATAACGTAAGCCACATCCTTGGCCGAGAGAGATCTCGGGAGGGAAGACTTTAAAAATTAAAACTGAAAAGTGGTGAGAATCTTGGGTACTTGGAATGTATTTGCATTAATGAATTGATGTCTTGTTAAAAACCTTGCCGACCAAAAACCCCTTTTCACAATTTTATAAGAGGAAAAAAGAACGGTTCAAGGAAAAGAGTGCACCATTTTACACAGACTTGAAATGTAAATACAACATGATCGTAGTTCAACTGTAGTATGTCTTTAGAT